TACTTTCCCTCAATTCCCGTCGGCACAGTCGGCGGTGGCACTGGGTACGCCACCCAGAAGGAGGCGCTGCAGATGATGAAGTGTGCCACGCCAGGTATGAAGGGCCGGCTGGCAGGCTCGATCGCCGCTTTTGCACTTGCCTCAGAAGCAAGCACGAGTGCCTCTGTAGCCAATGACACCTTCACACAGAGCCATATGCGCCTGGCGCGAGGTGAAAAGATCTCGAAGCTATGAGAGTTCTCCACGCACATCGCCAAATCATGTCACGGCACTCGTCCTATTCAACGTTCTCGTTTCGCCGACTTGAGACTTCAATTGATTTTTTTTTCTCTTGAAGGTGAGGGACTCGCTGAGACAGGAGCATAGTCCCTGGCTACTTTTCAAAGTAGCCGCTGGCTTGACTGTGTGACACTTACAATCGACAGACATGCAGTGATGGCTATCGCCTGATGTCTCTGAAACTTTGATGTATTCATTCCCAATTCAAATACTACATGAGAAAGCAACATCATCTCTCGTTCAGTTCCGGTAGCCAACGGATGTTGTCCACAAAAGAATTGTGAGTAATGAGCGTGGACTCGTCATAACAGCGTGTTGTCGACGATTGAAGGATAAGCAGCGCGGTAAGTTGGTAAAAAGAACTGGTGGAGAGCTGATTTCAGTAGAGTACAGTACAACCGAAGAGGTAGAAGGAAATTTGACGGCTGACATAAATGATACGGAAATGGCGGTAAGTAACACTCGACTGATAGACGGAAAAAGCACTAAAAGATCGCAGGATACTGTGACGCCGAGCCCTTCCAAGATCTTCGTCATGGTCTGGAGCGACGAACGCTTGATACCATACGGTGATGCCACGCCGATGGAGAAACCAAAAGTTGAGGCGTTCATGAAGATGATGGCGGACCGGTCATATCATTTGATCAGTACACAGGGGCGCGTCATGAGGCCCGACCAAGTATACACCGAAATTACAAGAAACAAGTCACGGACCGTTATCCTCAGCAAAGAGTCGAAGGTTACCCGCCAAATGCAGGGCGCTTTAAGCCAGTGGAATCGTGACAAAAAGCATAAGCGAAAATAGGTAGACTGCTAGCGAATGGCAAATTTTGAGAAACAAGATTGAGCACTATTGAAAAACTTATACTGTAACATTGTGGTAATCACTGCTATTGTAAGGGTCCACACGTCCGTTTGCACTGTGAATCTTCGCCCTCCAGCTACCGTAAAGTTCCTACTGGTCTTTATTCTTAGTTGTCCCATTCGTGCGTTCTCTGGGTGCGGAGAGCCGTGCTGTGGGTCAGTGAGTCATACGAAGGATCTTGGCCCTTAGCTCTATGAATGCTTTCCACTGTGGTGATGACCGTATCTTATATGTTCCGACTCTTTGGCTGGCTCGCACGTCGAGCCGGCAAGTCTTCGGCAGTCGTACTTCATGCTGGTTGGCGGGCTCCAGGCGATCGCCTTCTGGCTAGGCGCATGTGGAAGCCACGGAGGCAATCAGACCCATCCAACGTCTTCTCCGCCGGCCCCTGAACCAACCAGAAAAAAATAATTGATGATTCCGCTCTTATCCTCGAGTGACGATGAGTTGTGGCCGACATTTGGTAACGAATATCGGTTTCCTATAAGAAACATCTCACTCAGAATCTTGTTTAAGCTGGAGGTCAGAGACTGAGGGATCCGCAGTGCGGGCGAGATAGCAGTGACCGCCGGGAGATAATCCTTCATGATGGAAACTTTTGTGTTGAGTTTCGATATTTGGTCGTACGCAATTTCATCTGCAGAGTGTCGTTAATTTCACCTCGACGGGGATAACGCTGACAGCGTGCTTACATCGGGTATTGGCTTTGGTGAATCTTGGGCATGTCGGTTCAGTATTCGCTGTTAGACGTATTTATATTTCAGCAGACCTTCGAGTGTGCCGGCTCGGCAGAGGGGGATCTGGGCAAGGATGAGCGGGCCTTCTGCTTAACTACTTCAGCTACCAGGCGCAGACATTGAGGTGATTGAACCGATCATAGAAGGGAAACCCAGAGCTGCGGGAGTAGTGCGTGTGAGTGTTACTGTACAGTATCATAATAAATACTACGATACAGTACACCAGTGGCTATTATCGAAAACTCAAAGAAAACCAAAGAGCTGCTTGCGCGACACAGGTATGTATTCCCAGGCTGGTCAAGATGCGAACTAAGCATCGACAGGTCACCCGTCGATACGGTACTGTCGTCATGGAGTGCTCCGATACGATTCAGTACGAACGCCTCTTGAGCCGCGCTGAAACATCCAGGCGACTTGATGATAACCCCGCTGGAATACGCGGAAGAATTGAGGGTTCCCGTAAGGGCCAGGAGGAGCTCATTAACCGCTTGTCTGAAAATCCGCATAAGAGGGTAAGGTTGTCCTTTGCCAAACATTCGGTTATGGCTAACGCAGTACAGATTGACTGTGGTGGATCCATTGAAGATGTTCAGGCTCTGTTCCAAAACGTGTGCGAGAAATCACGGAAGATGTTTAGACACTGGCTGCCTGTGTATACACATTAGATATGGATCATGATCGAGACCCATGCTGGTGACCCAGCAGCTCAAGCTATCTCCGGGCCTTCTCTCAGGCGGGCCTCCATCATAGTGCTCTTTGGTTCTAACTTTCACAATGTCCAGAACATGAAAGAACCCACGCATGTTGATCGACCTATTTGTTTTTGTAGATGTCCACGTTGATGCTAGCGTTGCGGACCTCTCTCAAACCCCCTGAATCAAAACACCTCGCCTGCAATTCTAATATCGGCGAAGCTCGTCTTCGTGCCGTCTTGTGGTCTCGTTTTGGTAGGAAAAGATACAGCTCTGGGTCCTGAAGATCACCCAACTATGGAGGAGTCTTCGTCATCGCTAACTTATAACGGCTAGGCTACCTCTGAGGCTTAATCTCTACCTATTCCACATGATGCAATGATCGCAGCCCCCGGCCAGATTTTCGGTGCCTAGCGCACAGACTCAGGTGTCAATTTTTCAGCCACAGCCCTCGAGGAGATGAAACAGGTGGCGTGGGAACACATTCATCCAGAATATTTTACGAAGCAGAACGAAGATCCACAACGCGAATTGAAGAATTCGACATGAGGATGCTAGAATAATCTTTATCGAAAAAATTAGAGAATGTTTTCGAACTCTGGACTGATGTGCATGAAATATGTTATGATGTCCAACGGCTCATGCTTTTGGTCGCAGCTACTGATGCAGAGGTCAGTCACCACGAACCGGCATACGGTGTTAAAACCCTTTGACGTCCTGGATGGGAATGGTTGCCTAGATGTGCTGTTGTCTGGGTTGGCGCTCGTGTTATTATTACTAGAACGAGGTTATTGAACGATTCCAGACGACGAGACGCTACGCAACACTTGTTCATAGTCATCCACACATAAAGTACAGCCCAGGATGGTCATGGTGGAGGCGAATTCGGTTGGTACATTAAAGGTTATGCGGCCAATAGCAAAAGGTAGAGCTGAGTTGGCAAGGGAAATTAAATGTACCTTTGACGAGTAGAGAGTCATTGACGGCTTTGGTGACTAGTCAAATATCCATAGCTCGGACATCGCGATGCCCATATCGGGCCTGCATCTGGGGCCTAGGTGATTAAATTCATGTGGAGACTAAATCAAGCTCTCATTTCGTCATTCAAGCTGCCTAATTTAGACTCTGACCGAGCACAGCCCGAACGGGTGACTAGTATGCAGCTATATATAACTTACTGTACAAGAAACTGTGCGCCAATCGTATTCCACGGATATTTTGGTCATCCCTCCCCGCGCTATGAAGACGGCGAGATTAACAGTCCGGAAGAGACTAAGAGCATTCTGAAGGAGACCAGCAAGGTGTCCAAGATCAATCCCTGTCAGGGTGTCAGAGGGTAGTGTCGCGAGATCCTAATTTGCATGCATGCGG